AGGAGCTTTCTCGAGGAGCTGCCTCTCCTCTCCCGCTTACGCGTGAACCGCTGGCTTGGCAGCGGGGACGAGGACGCACAAGCGGAACTGCACGGCTTTGCCGACGCATCCGAGGGAGGATACGCCGCAGCCGTGTACCTTCGTATCACCCGGAATGGCACCGTGGCCATTCATCTGTTGGCCGCCAAGAGTAAGGTGGCCCCGGTCAGACAGGTGTCACTGCCACGACTCGAGCTCACTGCCGCCGACTTGCTCATTTCTCTTACGTGTCACACCCGCTCCACTTTGCGTCTGTTCACAGCACCCACGTTTCTTTGGTCCGACTCGCAGGTTACCTTGAAGTGGATTCAAGGACACGCATCCTGCTGGAAAACCTACGTGGCGAACCGCGTGGCCCACATTCAGCAAAAGCTGCCTGACGCTCGATAGGGACACGTCCCCGGGCGGGACAACCCTGCGGACTACGCCTCCAGAGGAATCGCTTCAGGCGAACTGCTGGAACATCCCCTGTGGTGGACTGGACCCGCCTGGCTTCGCGAGGACCGATCTCAGTGGCTGAGTGAAGGCCTTGCGATGTCCGACGCCGATCTGCCCGAACAGAGAGTCGCGGCACACGTCGCCACCGAGAAAATCGAGGAGGAACCCGAGATGCTTCTCCGATTTTCCTCGCTGCACCGGCTTCTACGGGTCACGGCTTGGTGCTCTCGCTGGCGACGCACCGCTTCCCGCACCACCACACTCACGTTGCGATCAGACAAGATCGACGACGCACTGATTCTCTGGCTCCGTGTGGTGCAAGCACTGCTCTTCGCCGCCGAGATCACGGCAATCTCCGCCAACCGCACTGTTTCGCCTCGAAGCTCTTTGGCGAGCCTGAGCCCATTTTTGGACGACCTGGGCGTCCTAAGAGTCGGTGGCCGCCTCAAGCACGCCATGCTTCCCACCGACGAGCGACACCCGATGATCGCACCTCCTTCGTGGCTCACTCGGTTGATCATCGAGTCGTGCCACCGCCGGACGCTGCACGGAGGAGTGCAGCTCACCCTTGGCCTACTTCGCCTCCGCTTCTGGATTTCTCGAGGCCGCTCCGTCGTCAAGCAGCGGCTGCATCGCTGCGTAACAAGCACCCGCTGGCGAGCCACGACACCTCAGCTTCCAATGGGCAATCTTCCGAGGGGACGAGTCACTCCGGCACGCCCATTCCTCCGGACCGGCCTGGACTACGCCGGCCCGATCTTCATCCGCACGACCAAAGGCCGCGGACACCGAGCGCACAAGGCCTTTATCGCCGTATTTGTGTGCCTATGCACCAAGGCGGTGCATCTGGACGTCGTGTCGAATTACACAACGGACGCCTTTCTCGCCGCTTTCCGTCGCTTCATCTCCCGTCGAGGCCTCTGCGAGGAGTTATACTCGGATTGCGGCACTAATTTCGTGGGAGCCGACCGAGTCCTGAGAGAGCTCTTCCGAGCTTCGTCCGCCGACGGTCGTCGCCTTGCTCACGCCGCCGCCGCGGAGGGTGTCAAATGACACTTTAACCCGCCAGCTGCACCGCACTTCGGTGGACTGTGGGAGGCCGCCGTGAAGTCGACCAAGTTCCATCTCCGTCGGGTCATTGGGGAAACCACACTCACCTTCGAGGAAATGAGCACTCTCCTCGCTCAGGTCGAAGCCTGCCTTAATTCCAGGCCGCTGCAGGTTTTGTCCGACGACCCGGACTACATATCCGCCCTCACACCAGGACACTTCCTGATCGGCGCTCCTCTTCTGGCCGTGCCCGAACTCGCCTTGACTGACGTCGCTGAGAGCTCACTCTCCCGGTGGCAACACCTCCAAAAGATGCGCGATCACTTTTGGTCACGGTGGTCGCACGAGTACATCAACGGGATGACAACTCGCTCAAAATGGACCAAACCCGAGGACGCACCTGCCGTCGGATCTCTGTGCTTGGTACGCGCCGAAAGCACACCACCGAGTCGATGGCCACTGGCCCGCATCATTCGAGTGCATCCCGGCGACGATGACATTGTTCGCGTGGCGACAATCCGCACCTCAACGTCAGAGCTCGTGCGACCACTGTGCAAACTCGTGCTTCTCCCCGGGACCGAGGACCAGCCGCCGCCGATGGATACGTGAGCTCACCGACACTTTGTCACTCAATTGTTTTTTCGGCCTTCCGCCGATATCTTTCACGTTCACTTCCATTGATAATGTTTATAGGCCTTCGGCCAACGTTCACCATTCACCGTGCAAAATCGCGCATTTTGGCCTTCCGCCGCAACTCACCGCAATTTCACGTCACTTTTCACGGGCGCAGAACACTTCACGTTTCGTACAATGCAATTTGCGTATTTATGTTTTTTGCTCGAGATCCCCGCACGTTGTGACACTGCGCAGGCGCACCAAGCCGCCGGTGCTCGCCTGCACCACGCGCCGAAATCGCGTTCATGCGAATCGATCGTAAATCGATTCTTCCTGCCGCGACTGCAGCCGCACCATCGAACGCACCGTTTCGTCAAGCATGACGAGGCGGGCGGGATGTTTGAGATCGTGCAATTCGGTACAGAAAATCGCGTCATTTCAGCAATTCAAGGCATAAGGCCAGATATTCTAAATTGCTCGCGCAACACGCATGCATGCAGGGAGGGCGGTCGACGAAATTCAATTTCCACCGTGTCGTCTTAACCGCATTGCAAATCGCCTCTTCAATATTAAATTCGTCAGTATAGCATGAATCTTTCTTTCGCTCATATTCCAGAAAGTTCGCTAATCGCCAGCAAACTATTGCCACAGTTGACCGAGTGAATAAACAAAGTCAAGCTACACAATAGAAAGGTCCATGCTACAAACAAAAGCGAGCGCAAACAAGTAACGATCCGCGGATCGTCACGTGTGAACAGTGACGTCAGCTCCGACGGCCAATCACCCTTCCGAAATTTGTAGAAATTTGTCTGGAGGGAGTTTCGCCTCGGCGCGGGTTCGATTCTCGCTCGTAGATCACCCGCTAAAGTATATCGTATACGACCGCTTGTACTTTGCTTCAACCGCATTTTCGCATTCGCGTAACCGCTCGCCGCTCTTGCCGTGCTAACCATTGTGCGCGCTCACGACTTTTTCCTTCATTGGAAATATTAAAGACTCTGTAAATAACTTGTACATATTTGATTTGGAACATTATATACTTTATTTTTCATTTGTACTTGCTGTTTATTTTTGTTCTTTTTGTGGTCGTCTCGTTACCTCGCGCGATACCGCGCTACCGCGTGCTCTCGAACATTTCTGGTCCTTCGAGCCGGATCATACCGGCAACCGCGATTTCGGGAGTGCCTCCTCAACGAGCGACCGCCAACATGAGCATGGAACAGAGCGCCTTGCTGAGCAGCCAG